CAAGATCAGAAGTTCAAACTCATCTTGGTTTGTGTAACAGATTTCAAGCTAGCCTAAGCTACATGAGACCCTGTGTCAAAAATAAAAGATAACAACGTGTCAGTGCATGCTTTTAATCCCAGCACTTGGAGGTAGAGGCAGGTAGATCTCAGTGAGTTCTAGAGGCTTGCCTGGTCTGGATAACAAGTTCCAGGTTGGCCAGGGCTGTATAGTGAAGCCCTATCCCAAGAGACAAAAAAAGAAACATACATTTGAATGGTTCATTTTCAGCAATGATGCAAAGGCAGGTCAATGGTAATAAAGCAGATTTTGGAAGTGGCTAGGACAATTAAAGTCCCATTAAAAAACGTGAGTCCTGGGTTGGAGAGATGGCTCAGTTGGTTAAGAGCACAGACTGTTCTTGCAGAGGACCCAGGTTTGATTCCCAGTACCCATATGGAAGCTAACAACAGTCTGTAACTACAGTTCTAGGGGATTCAACACCCTCTTCTGACCTCTGAGGGCATTGCATAACACAGGTGCACCTACCTACATGCAGGCAATACACTCACACACATAAAATAAAAATAATAAAATCCTTTTTTAAATTGTGCGTCCTGACCTAGACCTTATACTGTATAGAAACATTAACTCTAAGTAGATCATAAACCTAAGTTTAAAGCTAAATATCTTGCGCTGGGCGTGGTGGCGCACGCCTTTAATCCCAGCACTTGGGAGGCAAAGGCACACGGATCTCTGTGAGTTCGAGGCCAGCCTGGTCTCCATAGTGAGTTCCAGGACAGCTGGGGCTACAGGGAGACCCTGTCTCAAAAAAAAGACAAAAAAAGCTAAATATTGTTTTCATTATGCTTGTGAAGCTACTTTCTCTAAGGTCATGGTGACTGTTAGCTCACAGAAACCACCCTGGTAGAGGCAATCGGTCGTGTCATATATTCATACAGTCACCTCTCTAAGCTGCAAAGTTCCTGGCATGTAACAGCCCCAAGGTAGGGTGAAACAATAGGATTAGCTTCCTAGATTATGGCTTATATCCTATTTAGGACCTTCATTAATCTACTAAACTCAGAGACTGTGCCCCACCCTGCTAGGCTCAGAGATCCTTTTCTTCTAAAGTCTATAAATGTAAGAATTTTCCTTTGCTCTTTGAATTGTTTCTGGGTCTCCACATATTCTAACTTGCCCCAATGGAAATGGCTGTCATTATTAGAGGACATCTCTCTACCTGAGCCTAGAAAGAATCTTTAATATTTAAAACAGGGATCTGGGGGCTGGAGAGATGGCTCAGCAGTTAAGAGCACTGGTTGCTCTTGCAGAAGACCCAGATTCAGTCACTAGCATTCCTATGACCTCCATGGGCACCAGGCATGCATGGGGTGCACTTATATACATACAGGCAGAACACTCATACACATAATTTTTTTTAAACAGCTCTTTTAAAGAGAAAATAGAATGGTGACCTATTCACCAACTAATCTCCACCTCCCGGGCCTGTGTAGTATTTGACATCAAAACTGTCCTTTCTTTGAAATTCTCAAATGTATACGTAGTAGTGAGCTCTAGCTGTCTTACTGTCTGTTCTCTCTGGAGACTAGAAGTTCAAAATGAGTGGCACCATCAGGATCTGGTGAGGGACACCTACTCCCTGTCTTCATTGGTAGAGAGTGCTTTGAGTTTCTTCTTACAAGGGCATCAGTTCTATCAGATCAGGGCTCTACTCTGTGGCTTCATTTATCTTTAATCACCTGTATAGGCTCTGTCTCCAATATAGACACTTGAAGAGTTAGGGCTTCAACATGTGAATTTCAGAAGGGGGAACAATTCAGATCATAGCAACACTATTTTCATACTTACTGTTTCAAAACTGTTAGTGTATCACTCTGCTAGGCTTTGAGCATCTTAAGACTCAGAATTTTTCTAATTTGTTTGCACATCTCTAATACTTGGTACATGACAGGCATCCAGTAGGCATTCTAAATGAATAAATAGATGGTTTAACTCATGTATATTCCCCTGTCATAGGTAGTGATACCAACACACGTCTATCTTCCAGACTGAAATATCAAGTCATTTTCATTTTTCATGTTATTTTTAAAAAGATTTGAGGGCTAGAGAGATGGCTCAGTGGTTAAGAGCACTGGCTACTCTTGCAGAGTCAATTCCCAGTGCCCACATGGTGACTAACAACCATCTATAACTCCAGTTCCAGGGGACTCCAACACCCTCTTCTGACCTCTGCCAGGGATTGCATGATATGGGTGCACTCATACATATTGGTCTTTTTGAGACAGGGTCTCCCTGTAGTCCTGGCTGACCTGGAACTATGTAGACCAGGATGGCCTTGAACTCACAGAAATCCGCATGCCTCTGCCTCCTGAGTGCTGGGATTAAAGGTGTGTATCACCACACCTGGCTATATGTGTCCTTTCTTCCTGGGGTGTCCTTTGCAACTTCCCAATCTTAAAAGTTTGTTTTCCTTTTTGGGTGTTTTTTTTTTTTTTTTGAGATAGGGTCTCATTATGTTATCCAGGCTTAAACTCATGATCTACTTGCCTTAGACTCCACAGTGCTGGGATCATCTGCATGTGATACACACTCAGACAATCTTAAAAATTTTTCTGGATGTGTGCATGCATTGTGTATGTGTATGGGTAGGTGTTTGTGGAGGCTCAAGGTTGATGTCAGGTGTCTTCCTCAGTTGCTTTCCATCTTATATCTTGAGGCCCCTTTCTTGTTCCCAGAGTGGGCTGATTTGGCTAGTCTTGATTGCGAGTTTGCTTGGGGGATCCGCTATCTGCTCCTCCCAGGAACTGGCATTTTAAGAGGGTTTCCACACCTACCTGGCATTTCTGTGGGTTCTGTAGACCTGAACTCTAGTCCTCATGCTTGCATGGCAAGCACTTTACCTGCTGGGCCTATCTTCCAATACTAGTCTTTTCATTTGTTAAGTTGCATTCTAAAAGAATTCCCCAACTTACTCTTTCCGGGTGAAATCAGTCTGTCTTAAGTTTGCCATTAATTTTGTACTAAACTGATTTTATTTGTAGTTATGCCTACCATGCAGGCAGGCATGGTGGCATGGTGCCTCTGTCTGGAATTTACTAGACTGTAAATTCCTGGAAGTCAGACATCAGACTTGGTTAATTATATAGTCACACAATCTAGCATCTGGTAGATGCTCAATGTTTACTGAACAAGTGGATGAATCAGTTATCTATTTCAGTGTCAAAAGTGCCCATTTTATTTATTCAACAACCCCCATGTGTTAGCACTGTGCTGGGTGCTGGTAGAAAAGAAAACTATGGCATGCATTCTAGGAAGAAAACCTCAAGCTAACTGGATGTGAGTGCCAAGAAAAGGTAGCAAATTCTCGTCTTCTTCTTTTCCATCCCTCTTCCCTGTTTTAAACCTCCTCCCAGAACTGTCCTATGGCTATAAGTTTGATGGGCATCAATGTCTAGAAGAAAATATGTGTAGGTGAGACTGCAGGAGACTTTAATAGAAGTGTAATAGTTTCTTTTTTTTCTTTCCTTCTATTTCTTTTCTTTCTTTTTGTGAGACGGGGTCTCCCTGTAGCCCCCAGCTGGCCTGGAATTCCCTATATAGACCAGGCTGGCCTTGAACTCACAGAGATACCTGCCTCTGCCTCCTGAGTGCTTGGATTAAAGATGGGCACTACCACACCTGGCTCCAAATATTTATTTTTTAAAATCATATTTCCTAGTCCTTTAGTATTTATTTGCTTTTAAGTTTTCTTTTTTTAAGATTTATTTTTATTTCTTATGTGTATGTGTGTGTCTGTGTTTGTGTAAGTACATGCCACATAATGTGCCTGTGCCTGTGGAGGCCTGAAGAGGGCATCAGATTACTTAGAGCTGGAGTTATAGGTGGTTGTGAGTCACCCATTGTGCTGGGAATCAAACTCAGGTCCTCTGAAAGGGCAAGAAGTACTCTTAAGCACTGAGGCATCTCTCCAGCCCATGATAAGGTTCTAAGTGGCCTTTTTATTATCCTCTTAAAGTCATAATTACAAGTTTGCACTTTTCCATAGTACTTTTTTAGAAAAGCTAGAGACAAATTAGTTAAATGAACTAATAACAAAATGAGTTAAAGAGCACAGGACTAGGCCAGTAAGATGGCTTGGCAGTTAAAGGCGCCTGTTACCAAGCCTGATGACCTGAGTTCAATCCCCCAGACTCACATGGTAGAAGGAGAGACCTGACTCCAGTAGCTTGTTGTCTGGCCTCCACATGCATGTTGTGGTGCACACACACACACACACACACACACACACACACACACGTGTGTGTGTGCTAAAATAAATGTAATTTTTAAACACAGGCTGGGCATGATGGTGCATGCCTTTGATCCCAGCATTTGAGAGGCAGAGGTAGGCAGAGTTCTGTGAGTTCAAGGCTAGCCTGGTCTGCATAGAGAGTTCTAAGCTACAGAGTGAGACCCTGTCTCACATGTAGCTCCTGTGTAGCTAAGGTTTAGGTGGGTCTTGTACTTTGTAGACAAGAAGCACAGCCCCTGGCATCTGAGTTGCTTAAGGTTCCCTTGCTCCTGTGGTTCTTGTTCCACTGCTCTTTCTTTTCATAAATCATGGGAGTATTCTCTATTACTACTGTCCAAAATCTAAATGTCAGCAGTTTGCAGGTCCTGCTGGGCATCTACTCTGCATCCCCTGAAATCTTGCCAGGAGAGATCCCTGTCCCCTTGATCTTTAGCAACAGTACTATCAGACCAGATGTCCCCTGCCAGACATACCTGAAATAAATGAGAAATGATGGTCCCCATGATGATGTCCACACCCAGAGCACCTGCTGTCCTCGTGGTTCTTGTGGTGACTTACTGTGGATCATTGCCTTATGGTGTTTGGCAAAGCTGAGGGCTGAGCTGTGACCTCAGACAGCTTCAGCCTCCTGAGAAATTCTGAGTAACTGGAAATGAGGGGTGGTTTGGATCCAATCAAATGTTCTAACCAGAGTCTCTGATTGCAGAGTTGCCTCACTCACAGAGTTCTCCGACTGTCAGCAGCACCTTCACTAAAGTGCTCTATTTCACTGACCGGTCACTTACGCCCTTCATGGTCAATATACCAAAGAGGTGAGATACTGGTATCATTATGTCTCTGTTAAAAAGAAAGAAAGAAGCTGGGCGTGGTGGTGCATGCCTTTAATCTCAGCACTCAGGAGGCAGAGGCAGGCAGATCTCTGTGAGTTCAAGGCCAGCCTGGTCTCCATAGTGAATCCAGGCCAGCTGGAGCTACAGGGAGACCCTGTCTCAAAAAGGAAAGAAAGAAAGAAAGAAAGAAAGAAAGAAAGAAAGAAAGAAAGAAAGAAAGAAAGAGGAAAGCAGAACCGATACTGCTGCAGTAAGCAGCTGGAAACGGTTTGAAAAGCACCTTGTGTAGAGAGAAGAGAGCATAGAGAGTCTAGCTCCAGCTTTGCCACTCACCAGTGGCATTACAAAGGACAAGAAGCTGGGGCTGGAGAGATGGTGCAGCAGTTAAGAACACTGGCTGTTCTTGCAGAAGACCCGGGTTCGAATCCCAGCACCCACATGGCAGCTGACAACTGTCTGTAACTCCAGTCCCAGGGGATCTGACAGCCTCTTCTGTCCTCCACAGGCATTGCACAACACGGGTGCACTTACCTACATGCAGGCAGTACACGCATACACATAAAATAAAAATAATACATAAAAAAAGGACAAAAAGCCATGATCCACTGTCAGGTATGTGGATCATGTCAGGATGTGACCCGCTGGTAGAGTGCTGGCCTAACATTGCTTAAAGCCCAGGCATTAGACAAAAAAACAAACTCTGGAACCAATTACTAGGAGAGGTTCTAGGGTTTTCCTTTCTTTTTTTAAATTGCACTTCTTGCCTGAATAAGTATGCAAATAGGCTCCAACTTTGAAAAAAAAATGTGGTTTTTTTTTTGTTGTTGTTGTTGCTTTTTTTAAAGCCGTGAACGACTTTAGTCCCAGCACTTGGGAGACAGAGGCAAGGTGGATCTCTGTGAGTTCAAGACCTGGTCTACATAGTGAGTTCCAGGCCATCTGGAGCTACAAGGAGACGCTGTCTCTAAAAGACAAAAAAAAAAAAAAAAATTAGTGCTTTCCAAAATTGCTCCTCCTGGAAGCCATGGCTACCATCCAATCCTGGGCATATACTTGTGGGTCTTTGTTACACTGATGACTCCAACTCATGCCTGCAAGTACTTATGTGGTTTACCTTCCACAACCTCAGTTCAATAGACTTCCTCCTAATGAATAAAGATATTGTAAAGGGTCTAAGGATGTGACCCGCTGGTAGAGTGCTGGCCTAACATTGCTTAAAGCCCAGGCATTAGACAAAAAAACAAACTCTGGAACCAATTACTAGGAGAGGTTCTAGGGTTTTCCTTTTTTTTTAAAAAAAAATTAAATTTTATGTGTATGAGTGTTATGCCTGAGCCAGGTGTGGTAGCACATGCCTTTAAGCCCAGCACTAGGGAGGCAGAGGCAGGTGGATCTCTGTGAGTTGCAGGCTGGCTGGGGCTACAGGGAGACTGTCTCAAAAAAAGACCGAAAAAAAAAAAGTGTTATGCCTGCACAAATGTAAGTGCACCACATGTGTGCAGTGCTTGCAGAGGTCAGAAGAGGGTGTTGGATCCTCTGGAACTGAAGTTAAATATGGTTGTTAGCTGCCATGTGGGTTCTGGGAATCAAACCCAGGTCCTCTACAAGAGCAGCCAGTGCTCTTAACTGCTAAGTCATTTCTTCAGTCCCAGGTCTTCCTTTCTTAGAGAGTCTGCTTATTTGGTCTGGGTTAGAAGTCAGCTACCTAAACACAGAAGGCTAGAGATACTGATGATTGAACTGTGGCTAGGTGGCATAGATGTGTCATTTTAGCACCTGGGAAATGAGATAGGATTGTAAATTTGAGGCCAGCTTGGCTATAAAGTAAGACCCTGTCTCAAAACAAACCAACACACACACACACACACACACACACACACACACACACACAAAGATAGGCCTGCCTAATTTAATTTTGTCAGCCTATGGAAACTGAAATATTGTAGCAAGGGAAGAAACCAAGAAAACCTAGATGCGTCGAGGTTCAATGAATTTGATTTTGAATCTCTCATTTCCAGATAAAAACAGCAAAAGGTGACTTGGCTGTTACTAAAGCAATAAGTGTTTTAAATTCTCAGATCACCCAATATATAATGCCATGTTTGCTCCTCGTTGACTGGTGACCGGTTGTTCAACCTTTGCTGTTTAGGGTTACCTTTGTCACTGGGGCCATGACCTAGTGAAGCCTTGTTACTTCTACTCACTGACTTTGGCAGGAACTTGTGTTTAAAGCTAACCATTATCTTTCCAACCTATCGATTAGCAGTCTATTTTGGTATGCTCTTCTTTTGTTACAGGTTGGGGGAGGTGACATTGAAGGATTTTAAAGTAGCTATTGATCGAGAGGGGAGTCACCGATATCACTTCAAAGCACTGGATCCCGAGTTTGGCACTGTCAAAGAAGAGGTACAGAATCCACAGGGAGTTGGGGGAGTAGTATTGCTCACTCCTGAACTCAAAGCCTCCCATTCAGGAACTAGTACCCAGAAGTACCTGACTCCCCTAAAGGAGCTTAGGAATTCTGGGAGCTTCAGATCATGGTCCAATGACATTAGACTAAGAGGGTCATAAAATGGCCCCTCATTAGTTCAAGGATTTAATCCTTTTTTTTTTCTTTTCTTTTTTTTTTTTTTTTGAGATAGAGTCTTACTATGTAGCCCTGGTTGGCCTTAAACCTTGAATTCACAGAAATTCACTTACCTCTGCCTCCTGAGTGCTGAGAGTAAAGGTAGATGCCACCACACCTGGCCTCTTAATCATTTTTTTTCATTAAGAATTTTTATAGAATTTTTATTTTAAAAAGGAAATAGTTATGCCAGAGAAAATAAAAACCCTGAGACAAGGGGCAGGGATGTAGCTTAGCCTGCATGTATATAAGCGCACCCATGCATGCAATGCCCACGGAAGCCAGAAGAGGGCATCAGGTCCCCTGAAACCTGGACTTAGAAATAGTTACTAGCCATCAAGTGGGTGCTAGGAACTGAATCCAGGTCCTCTGCAAGAGTATCCAGCGCTCTTAACCACTGAGCCATCTCATTTTTATTAGCAGCAGTTGCTTAAGTGATTCTCCCTACCTTACTCTATAATTTTGTTTTGTTGAGAGAGTTCACACTGTAACTGAGGCTGTCCTGGAACTTATTGTATAACCCAGGCTGTCCTGGAACTCATGGCTACCCTCTGGCCTCAGCCTCCTGGGTGCTGGGATACACACCATGCTGTATTTTTTCCATTGTGGCTTTTTTTGTTTACCTAGGTTTTCCATGATGATGATGCCATCCCTGGATGGGAAGGGAAAATTGTAGCCTGGGTAGAAGAAGACCTTGGAGAGAATTAATGCTGAACCTGGACACTCCCTGGCTGCTTCTCTCAGGAAAGAGGACTAAAACCAGCATACACTAAGAAGTTTCTAATATGCACTGCCAAACAGAAGCTTCTTCAAGTGTGGCGGTCACAGGCCGGTCCTGTTTTGTGCCTGGCCTATCTGGTACTTAAAATCCCTGTCCCAATGTAGACCATGGATTCATCTGGAGTTCCTTGTCTGTGGGAACAGTGTTTTATTCTGCTCTGAGGACATCAAACCGAAGGCCTTAACCAACTGGGGATGGATGATCCTGCTCCTGTGGGGGCATAGCTGCTGTTATCTGGAGCCTGGAATTGGATGTGTCACTCCTTTGTATTACAGTGTTAGTTTAATTGGCCTCAGTGGTTGCAGCAATCAGAGTCACAGCATCCGTGCTCACAGACAAGGCAAAGGTACCAACATTAATGTTTCTTCACAGGTATTGCAAACCAAGAGTAACTCATGAGGTGGTACCAAAGAGGAAAGCCACTCATATCCACTGATGTGGACATGGATGGTGCTGACTTGTTGATTGGATGGAAAAAGGGCTGCCCATATTGTGTTATACTATGCTAAAACCACAATTAAGACCTTGGGCTGCCTCTTCTGGTCTTAACTGGTTCTACAGCTTGTCCTTTAGCCCATTAAGGGCATTTTTCATGTACTGCTGGTTTTCTCTGGGGACTCTTTAACTTTAGAGCCATTTATTTTTCTTCAAACTGATGAACTTTGTATTTGAAAGGTATAAGGAGAGGCTCCTTAAAATCCAGGCGGGTACGGAAAGGTGCTGCTACCCATATCTTCTTGACTCTGTCTCATGACTCTCGTGGCATCTCCTTTGAAGTTAAAAGGAGACAGACCATTTTGTGTTTCCTTGTGACTTGGCGTACTAAGCATGACTTACTGGTCTGCCTTTCATTTCAAGGCTGGAGTTATTTTCTATTACATAGTCTAGGCTGATCCTTTAGGGCATAATAAAACCCACATGGCATGGAGCATGAGTTGTGAATGGCAGGGTTGATTCTAGGTGAAGAAACCTAAAATCATTTCTCATGTGCAACACTGTCAAGTGTAGAGGCTAAAGAGTTCAGCTTCCAGAGGTTGCTCAGTAACTTGGGGTTTCTCGTTCATTCACATAGCACCATCAACCAATCAGCCATTATTATTTATATATTCCCTGAAAGCAGTCTCTGACCACCAATGTACACTGCCAAATGGAAGAGTGGGGCAGATAGATCAGTTCTGGGTTCTTGATCTGCCTGTCTCTGTTCATCTCCCATCTTCAGCCATTTGAACAGACTACTCTTTGGAACTCTGAGATAACATCTTATTGTTTTATACAGACATGTCTTTTAAGAATAGTTCATGTTTGGAGAATTGTTTTGTACCCATTTGCTTTTGTCTGAGAACCATGTCTATTTTTATAACTTAAGTGTGACTTCTATATAATCTCACATTCTGAATACTGTGCCCATTTTCTAGAGAACCCAGTAGCTTTTATACAGTCTCTTCTTACCACTTCTTGTGGTTTCAGAGCAAGCTTTATTTTATTATGAGTATACTGATGACAATTAATCCCTGTTCATTTCTATCTGCTGTCTTAGATATGGAGGTAGTTTTATGTAATCTAGTTGACTGCTCTTCTAAAAGACAGGAGTTCAAAAGACCTACTGTCTTTCATGTAAGTTTACCTGGTCTTCTATTCAAAAATGATTTTGCATCAGATATAACTGGAAAAGTTTGGGAAAGTCAGCCATAAGCAAGAATAACCCACTATGAAAGCCAACAGAAAAAAAAGTGTATTTTCCATTTTTACCCAAGAAGTCTGGAGAAAAAGAAAAGTCTGTATGTCACCAATTTCTCTGTTGCATGAATTTCAATGTTGTGCTATATAAAAGCATGAAGGTTATCAGGCTAAAATTTGTTACTGTAGTCCTGGTACAATTTATCTTGACTGTATGTCTCTTAAATCAGCTTTTCCATGTCAGTTTTCTTCCAGCAGTCTTACCATATTATGTGGAATTTAACTTTTCAGAGAAAATTAAATCAGAGCAAAAAACTTCGAAGTCTTCTATATTGTGTTATATCTTTATCTTTTTTATTTTTATTTTTTTGGAAAAGGAGTTGTATGGCCTTAGTGCCTGCATAAAAGAGAAGTTGAATACGGGAGAGAATGTAGTTCATTAATCTCATATTCCATGGGTAAAATGGCTAAGCATCTCTACCAGAAGATGGATTTCATTAATTCTCGTACACACTGTGTTAGTGATCCTCATTCCCAGTTCCTAGTGGAGCCTTCAGAGCAGGGGTAGCCATTAATTCATTGTTTTGAATAATCCATTTGGCCATTCTCTAGACCTTGTGACTTAATAATATTGTCCCCTCGTGGTATTGGTATGGGGTGGACCATCTTGCTACTGCTGAAGTTCTCTTTCCCTGTGAAAAAGTACACTCAAATGTTAAGGAATTCATAAACTAATCTCTAAACCATGTTTTAAAAAATGACCTCATGGGGGCTGGAGAGATGGCTCAGCGGTTGAGAACACTGGTTGTTCTTGCAGAAGAACCAGGTTCGAAGCCCAGTACCCACATGGCAGCTAACAACTGTTCATAACCCCAGTCCCAGGGGATCCAACAGCCTCTTCTGACCTCCGTGGGCACTGCACGACATGGGTGCACTTACCTACATGCAGGCAATACAGGCATACATGTAAAAAATAGAAATAAAAAAATTTTAAAAAATGACCTCATAAACACTAATTTAGTTGAGAGTTTAATTCTTTCAAAAGTTATTTAAAGACTGCAGAGTATTTTTGCTCAGTTCCCTAAATTAGCTGGGACTGGAATACTTTGCAATTTATAGCTAAAGAATCTGGGTGATAACATGTCTGTAATCCTAGCACTTGGGAGGCTGAAGCAGGAGGATCAGGAGTTTGAGGCCAGCCTGTGATACATAGTGAGACTGTCTCTAGGTTAAAACAGAAAAGAAAGAAAAAGAAGTATGGGTAACAGCAATCCTACATTCTGACCAACATTTTGGATCTTTTGACTGGGATTATTGTAAATTAGGAAATTGTCTTTATGTTGTACATCCAATTCAAGAATAGTCTTAATTACTGAAAACCATTTAGGTCATTATAACATTTCTCATTTTCTCCCCCAGATGTATCAAGCTGACAGCTGAAGCTATCTAGCACACTTACCGTCACATGGTCTACACTATTAATCCCAGCTTTTGGGAGGCAGAGGCAGGCAGATCTCTGTGAGTTCAAGGCTAGCCTTGTCTACATAGTGAATTCCAGGCCACCTGGGGCTACAGGGAGACCCTGTCTCAAAAAGACCAAAAAAAGAAAAACCAAAACCAAAACAAACAACCCCCCCATATATATCTACACACACATACACACACACACACACACACACACACACACACAGAAGCTGGGCATGGTGATACACGATTTTAATCCCAGCAATTGGGAGGCAGAGTCATGTGGAGATCTGTGAGTTCAAGGCCAGCCTGATCTACATATTAAGTTCCAGGCCAGCTGGGGCTACAAGGAGACCACTGTTCTACCAGAGGCTTCCAATTATCTAAGTGATAGCCAGTTTTAACTGGCTGTATGTACCTGAGTTGTGAACAAGTCAAAACCACATACACAAACTATGAATAAAATGGTTTGCAAACTAAATCCAGTTAATCATTTTCATTTATGTTTCTTAACTAAGATTAATCAGTAAAGCTATTTACATGTAGTGAAGGTAAATTTCAAGTGATCTCCCTAGTAGCCTGTTTACTCGTCTGGAGAGTGGAGATAAGGATTGCTTTATTGCTGCAGATACTTCACTGCTGGTATGCCTAATGGAAGCACAAAACAGATCATCATAAAAAAGGATTAGCGAACTTTGTACCTCTCTTGAAATCATATGTAAATGTGCATACATGTAAGAACCTTTGAGGATAAACTTTATGTCAAGTCTAATCTGCAAATGCAACGCAAACCCTAATTAGCTCACAAGTGTCTTGAACTGTATGCATGCTAAGCATGCTTTGTACCACTGAGCCACTCATGCTCCCATCCAAAAATGTATACTTATTATCTATCATCTATCTATCTATCTATCTATCTATCTATCTATCTATCTATCTATCTATCTATCTATCATCTATCTATCTATCTATCTAATCTGTTTTTGAGACAGGATCTCCTGTACCCCAGCTTCCCTGGAACTTGCTGTGTAGACCAGGCTGGCCTCACCCTCACAGAGATTTGCCTGCCTCTGCCTCCAAGTGCTGAGATTAAAGACAAGGGCATTTGTTTGCTTATTGAAACAAAGTTGTCTAAACTGATAGTTCATATGATTTATCTCTTGCTTTGGCCTTTGGAGGAGCTGGAACCACAGGCATAAATATGTAGCTAAAAGAATCAGAATTCCCAAATCCATTTGCAAGTTGCCTCCCCTGAATTCAAACAGGTTCATTGTCATTTCAACTGTTTGACATATTGCAATCTTCTTAGCTCTTGCTTTCTTTCACTTGGCTTCGGATTACACATCTTCAATTATCACTGGCAATCTTACCATTAATTTTGTATAAAACTCAAAATCTTTCATGCCCAATTTCTCTTTCCATCTGTCCACTTTAACAATGGTGTCACTGTTCTACTCAAACCTTTGAATCTTGCTTTTTCTTAATTTCCTTATTCTATTTGTTTAGGAGACATCAGACTTGTTCTCTAGGAACTGATCTGACAAACTTAAACCTTTTTGCTGGGTGTGGTAGCACACACTTTTAAACCCAGTACTCAGGAGGCAGAAGCAGGCATATTCTGTGGGTTTGAGGCTAGCTTGGTATACATTGTGAGTTATAGGACAACCAGAGCTACATAGTGAGAACCTGTCTCAAAGATCAAAGGGAGTTCAGCCTACAGAAAGGGATCAATTTACCACCGTGGACTGTATTTGAGCCGTGCCTTCCTATAATTTAGCTACATCTGTCAAAAGTACATTCAAAATGCAAACACTGCTGTTTGAACAATGTAAGACAAGGTTTAAGCAAGTCTACTCTAGAGAACAGATTACCTCATTCTTCCTAACACAGCCTAATTTGGATCCAGTTGTTAAATTCAAATAGCTAAAATGTTTTTGTAATCAAAGCTACAGGATAAGCCGTTTCACTAATTATAGTCATTCCTCCATTGGTGCTGCTAATGGTTATGTACTTACATAACTGCTACTCTTCTCTTTACTTCAAATGTTTTTTTTTACCCTCACTTAATCTGGAATTTTATATTTTCTCAATTACATTATCTACATGTTCACTTAAGCATTGGTTCAAAAGGTCCAGTTTCAGAACGTATGAGATAGTATCTCCTGGCTGGTTTAATTTCCAAAACTTACTATATTAGAAATAAAATCTGAGGTCCATGGACCCCATCAATACCTCACAAAGAACATGTAGACAAAGCAAAAGTAACTTGGCAAGGCAGATTTTATGGGATGCATGGTCAGATCCAGCAAGCACACAGGATTCAGAAGCTTGGTAGACTTTTATCCCTAAAGCAAGAAGACTCAGTCTTTTCCTCCTTGGCTGGGGTCTGACCTGACTTTCCTTCTTGGCTAGTTTAAAAGAATCAGTTTAGCTGGGTGTGGTGGTGTGTGCCTTTAATCTCAGCACCTGGAAGGCAGAGGCAGGCAGATTTCTGTGGGTTCAAGGCCAGCCTGGTCTATATAGTGAGTTCCAGGCCAGCTGGGGCTACAGGAAGACCCTGTCTCAGAAGGACCAAAAAAAGAATCAGCTTAAAGGAAGAAGAGCTTCACTGCCCCAGGCCATCAGGCTCAGAAATGCATCAGGACCTTTCCTTAAACAAAAGTCTTATAGGGTATGGTGGGATTAAAAGATTAGAATTCCTTGGCATAAAAAGTCTAATATTTATTTAATGTTTTTTACAATTATTAGCAAAGTGTGGATGTTATTAATTACACCAACATTACCACTACCTTGAACAAAGCAAAAAGCTTGACTCAAAATAAGTTTTTAAGAGTGGGCTCAAACATCAGAAGACACCCATTCCCCAGATGCCTCTCAGAACTGTGTGGATGGCCAGACCACACATATTTATTCCACAAGGTTTCGCCCACCTTGTTGAGGGAAGAACAAAGTTTCAGTTCAGCTCCACCTTTATTTCATCCCTACTATCTCCTTCATCCAGTCATGAGTTCTTCCCCACCTCCATTGTTTTCAGTGGGTGGGTTAAGGTGATATATTTAATATATCAATTCTCAAGCATACTCGCATTCATTTGTTCATTATCTTTTTGGGCAGAGTACCAAATTCTGGTTGCCAAGGAAATGCCCTGGTCAAAACACCGAAGAGCATGGTTTTGCTGGGGTTAATTAAAAGTCATAAGTCCAGATTAGGTCCATTAATAAAAGTCATTTCTATAGCAAAATTGAATGTTTTCTATTTCTTTGAGGGGAGTAGGAGTTTCTCTGTGACCCAAATTGGCCTCAAACTCGTGACAGTCCTGTCTCAGAGTCTCCTGAGTGCTGGAATTACAGGCAGGAGGCACCATGCCCAGATTTGAATATTTTCAAATGTCTTGAAAAAAATTGTTTTAGAAAGTCTATATAGGTAGTCCAGGCTGGCCTCAAACTGGCTGGAATTAGTCACCACACCAGGTGTTGGTTTGATTTTTTTTTTCTCTCCAACTTCTTCTTGTGTCCATCGTGTTCCCTGCCCCTCTGTAACTGAGGACTTGGCATAAATACAGCAATACATGCTTCCTCCAAATACCACTTTCATCTCAGAAATGAGATTTTAAAAAAAATTTAATTTTATTATTTTTATTTTATGTGTATGAGTGTTATGCTTGCATGTAAGTGCACCCGTGTTTGTGCAATGCCTGTGGAGCACAGTAGAGGCTGTCGGAGCCCTTGGAACTGGAGTTACGGACAGTTGTTAGCTGCCATGTGGGTGCTGGGATTCGAACCCGGGTCTGCAAGAATAGTCAGTGTTCTTAACCGCTGAGCCATCTCTCCAGTCCCAGAAAATGAGATTTTCTAATCACATGCTAACCATAGAGGGGATATATACCTAAAAATTTTTGTCATTAGTTCAAAAGTCATGCACTCAGCACTATTACTATCCTGACTCAGAAGACAAAAAAAATGATATGATCCCTGAACTGGCTTACAGATTAGTGTTAAACCACAGGTGCTCTAGCTGCCTCCTGCCTCCCTCTTTCTCCCAGAAATCAGGCCACGTGCTGTCATAACCACCTGACAGCTGGTTGTGAAGGTTAGAGAACATAGATCTGGTGGAGGACTAAGTCCAACCCCTCTGTCTTGGAATTCCAAGAGAAGTTTATAGTCCTGCCCAGTAACCTGGTCCTCCATGCTCCTTTTCGAATAGGCTGAGCCAGACCAAATCCTGTGGTGTGGCACTTCCTCATAGAGATCCATCTGCCTCTGCCTTCCCAGTGCTGAGGTTAAAGGTGTGGGCTACCTTGCCGCTCTCATTCTCCTTTACAACAATTAGCTTTGGTGTCAAATACAGTCATGAGCCAAATAATGGTAGTTTGTTAATGACCTATACAATATACAAAGGTAATCCCATAAGATTATATCATGGGGTGATTATATGGCTCAGTAACACTGTAGCTACCATAGCTCAAGTAAGTGCACTCTATGACAGGCTTCCTGAACTTCTTCCATCTGTGACTCCTGCGAGAAATTTTTACATGAGCCCCACATGTAGAGACAAATAAAATTAGCTATTTAAATAAAACATTTACACCGGGTGTGGTGGCGCATGCCTTTAATACCAGCATTTGGAAGGCAGAGGCAGGCGGATCTTTGTGAGTTCAAGGCCATCTTGGTCTACATAGTGAGTTCCAGGACAGCTGGAGCTACAGGGAGACCCTGTCTCAAAAAGACAAGAAAAAAAATACTAATAATAAATCATAGAAATTTATTTTAAAATAATTCATTGATATACATATAATTTTACTATTTATTAAAGACAAAAGCAAGAGCTGGAGAGATGGCTAAGCAGTTAAGAGCACTTACAGCTGGGCATGCCTTTAGTCCTAACACTGGGGAGGCAGAAGCAGGCATATCTCTCTGAGTTCAAGGCCAGTTTGGTCTACATAGTGAGTTCCAGAGCTACTGGGAGACCCTGTCTCAAAAAGACCAAAAAAAAAAAAAAAAAAAAAAAAAAGCACTTCTCTTCTAGAGGACTGTGGGACTGTGGTTGGGGTCCCAGCATTACATGGCAGCTAACACCTATCTGGGGCACCAGGTATGCACATAGTGCACTTACATACATGCAGGCAAAATACTCATTCACATAAAAACAAAATAAAATCTTTTAAAATTTAAAAAAGTAATTTTAAGAAAAGCAAATTTGTATGTAATGAAGATGGATGTGCTTATTTTTACATAAACATATATGCATGTATGAAATTTTCAAAAAATAAATAAGGCGGGTGTGGTGGCACATGCCTTTAATCCTAGCACCCGGGAGGCAGGGGCAGGTGGATCTCTGTGAGTTCAAGGTCAGCCTGGTCTACATAGTGAGTTCCAGGACAGCCCATCTCAAAAAGACCAAAAAAAAAAAAAAATGTTATTTTTAAGACCCATCACCTTAGATACAATTTCTCACTCATACTGATGAAAATTACAAATCAGGAAATTATGACCCCCCCTTCTCCCCACAGAAAGAATTATGAGAGCATATTCTGTGGCTGCAGGGGAAACAGGCCATACACTCCAGATGGGAATTCAAACCCACTGGAGCAGAATATGGCAGCATCTACCACACAGCATAAGCACCTATCTTTTTAAAAGTCTGTAGATGCAAAAGCACAACTCTCACCTCACACGGTAGATAAGCCATAGTTTACTGGCACCAAATACGAGTGACTGGCCTGGGAACACAGATTCCAGTTACCCCAAATTCCATGTTCCAACTTGGTAAAAGTTTCATGAAATTTTTATAGGAACAAGGATAGTCATAAATCAAGACACTTCAAATACATTGGTGGAAGCATCAGAGAGGTGGGTTAAACCACAGCCGGCAGAATTCTGCTATATAGGCCTTAGATGCTTTATGATAGGCTTCTTAGGCCTTAGATTGGTGGAAGCTGGTGGTCTACTCAGGTAATACATTTTTAAAGGTTTTTATGTTAATCACAGGATGTGAAGTCAGAAACAGGTGGGCAAGGAATAGTTATTCTGGGAAGTTATATACAGTATATACGTATACAGTATACATGAAACGTGTAGTTTTGTTTGTTTGAAACAAGTTTCCCTGTAGCCACAGCTGCCCAGAACTCGCTAGGTAGACCAGGCTCAAGAGTTCCGCTTGCCTCTGCCTCTGGCGTGGTAGAATTCAAAACATGTGCCGCCACCACGCCCTTCTCAAATGTGCGTCTTTTTTCAAAAGATTTTTATTTTATGTGTGTGAATGTTTTGCCTGCGTGTATGTCCACCACGGGTATGCCCCGTGTCCTGGGGGGCGGGGTCAGAAAAGGGAGCAGAATCCCCTGGAACTTGAGTTACAGACCAGAAGTTAGCTTCCATGTGGGTGCTGGGAACTGAACCTGCGTCTCGATCTTCTGCAAGAGCAACAAATACTCCTTACGTGCTGAATCACCTCTCCAGCAAACGTGCATTTCTTTCTTTTTTTTTAAATCAGGCAATATGCTTTATCCTCCTACAGTATTTCTAAATGTGTGAATGTACCTTCCGCCTGACTGCACTTCACACCATTTGGCTGGAAAAGCCGTAGCTCCCGTTTCCGCTGCGGCTACACACCTGCAATGGAATCTTTGCAACCTAGGACAGCGTGTGGGGTGTGCAGGAGCCGAGGGCCGTCCCCAGCACCCTGGTGATAGCTCCCAGGGCTGTTCCTTGCTCAGTTTTTGGGTGCGCACCAAGATCCCACCCTTTGGCCTATGGCTTTGGGTGACTGTCCCGGCTCTACCCCAGCTTTTCTTTCTTACAAGGCCACTCCCTCTGGCCTGGCTCCCCGGACCACAAGCTTCGTTCCGCCCGTCACCTCTGCCGGCTTGGGCCACCCCCTTGGGGCGGGCGATGTCCCCAACTGTCCTTCCCAGCCTTCGGGATGCTTCTCTGCGAGCCATCACCGTACCCCTGACCCGTCCTCATTTCCAAAACTGTCTGGGCTGCGCACTGCTGCGCAGGGCCCCCCAACTCCCTGCGAATCCGAGGCTGCAACCGGGATCTCTCCAGGTCGCTCCGGCAGCGGAGCACGGACGCAGTTGCACGTTGCGGCCAGGAGTCGGAAGAGCCGTGTTTTACGACACCGTGCGACGGCACGGCGCGGCTGACGGCAAAGCCGGGCTGCTCTTGGGGAGGTCACTCCGGAGACGGCGGAGGTTCTGGGGCGTGGGGGGGGTCTGTGACACTATGTGGCGCGTGTGCGCGCGGCGGGCGCAGAGTGTGGTCCCCAGGGCGGACCTGGGAGCTCGGCGGACGGCCTTGAAGGAGGGTCCGGGGGTCCTGAGCGAGAGTGCGCGGTCCGGCCCGGTTGCTGCTCGTTGCAGTAGCGCGACCCCCGGGTATGGCGGGGTCCGTTCGCTCTGCGGCTGGAACCCCTGCTCGGGCGCTGCGCCTCGTTACCTTTTCTTGCGGCAGCTGCTATGGTTGCCTGGCCGCCGCAGCTACAGCCTCCCGCCGCATCAGAAGGTGAGTTCTCCCGGGACCCCAATGTCCTTCAAGGCCGGCTCCTGGGGGTCGGGATCCTCCTGGAGAAGCCTTGGGGAGCCAGCTCCCCCCAGGTTCTGTCACCGTCTCTGGTCCTAGACCTGCCTTCCCACTTAGGACAGTCCGTTGAAAGGAGAGCCCCGAGCCTGGGGCTATGCGCGAAAGGTCTGTGGAGGCTCAGATGCTTTCTCCGATCCTCCAGGCTGGAGGAGGAAGCCTGTCACTGAAGTCATGAACTCTGGAAATTGAATTGAATGAAACCCTAAACCACACAGAATTGAGTATCCCTTCTTTAATTAATGCTTCTTTTTTCTCCTGCAGGTTCCATTGCCTTCTCTTTCCCCTACAATGCAGGCAGGCACTATAGCCCGCTGGGAAAAAAAAGAAGGGGACAAAATCAACGAAGGTGATCTAATTGCAGAGGTAAGTTTTAAAATATGCAGATATTCTAAAGCAGGATAGACTGAGCGTTAGTTTCCTGAAGGGTTAACGCCTTTCATTTTAAGAAACTTTTTAACAGTTTGATATTAGAAATGTTTCGTTAGATAGGCTGTTAGCAGCTAGCCAAAGTGAGTTTTGACACAATGTCTCACAATGTAACCCTGGCTGGAACTTGCTATGTAGACTAGGTTGGCCTCCAACCTAGGAGACCTGCCTTCTTCTGCCTCTGAGCTTAAAGGCATGCACCACCACACCCAGCTGCCAAACTGACTTTTACCCCAAATGTCTTTAAATTATTTCCTTTTTTCAAGTCTGTGATAGTGATTTTTATCTTCACGTGACTGTTGAACTGCAATTCTAGACACATTCTCTTAAACTTCATGTTAGTAGCATAAGCCTAAGCTACTGATCTGTATTAAAAGGTTGAAACTGATAAAGCCACTGTTGGATTTGAAAGCTTGGAGGAGTGCTATATGGCAAAGATCCTTGTTGCTGAAGGGACCAGAGATGTTCCAATTGGGTCCATCATCTGTATCACAGTTGGAAAGTGAGTAAAGCTATTGTAATTTGTGGGCATTCAGTTCTGTAGAGCATTTTGACTCACGTTGGAAGTTAAAGACTTTGAAGACTGCTGGGAGGTGGGTGCTGAATTTGCTTTGTATTTATGTATTTTTCTTCCTCAGGCCCGAGGATATTGAGGCCTTTAAAAATTACACATTGGATTCAGCAGCAGCATCTCCACCACATGCAGCCCCAGCACCAGCTCCGGCTGCTTCTTCAGTACCATCTGCACCTTCTGCAAAGGCTCCTGGAAGCTCATATCCTCCTCACATGCAGGTAAGGTCCAGCTTCTGGGTGCTCTCTCTTGATGATTTTGTATTTATATATTTTTCATAGATGGCTGTTACATCCTAAAAGCACTCATTAAATACGGTACAGGTTTATCATTGGGGAGTATAGAGAGCAACTGTTATTCCTGATTGCTATTTCCAAGTGTATGAACTTGGACAGTTTCTTTAATGTTTCTCAGGCTCAGCATAGTGCACAGGTGTTTCCCAGTCAAAAACAATGTTTCAGATTTTGAAAATGACTTTTATTATGTCTTTTTCTCCTGTACAAGCAAAATTGATAGTAAACACCAGGTACCGTGTGTCTAATGAAAGTCTCCGATTGAAGTTTTCTTTGGTATATGGTGGTCTGTTTTCTAAGACTAGGTGAAGTAGTCCAATAATATTCATAAATGAGAAAATTTGACAATAAAGGATAAGTATGGAATAGATATATAGAGTAGCTTTATAACAAAGCTAGAGGCCATAAATGTAGTCACCATTGATTCTATTACCTAAATCAACTTCTAGGAAACTAAAGCAACTTATTGGGGTTTTCCTCTGCTACTTACATATTTTTGATGTTGGAAGTCGATAAAAAGCTAGCCACCCTTTTTCTAAAGGATTAAGACTTGACTTTTCCTTAACACATTATTTGTAGGTTGTGTAGGAATCATTTTTTTCTTTGGAAATAATGCTCCAATCATGGTCTGTTGGTGACAGTTACTTATGAAATTTTGCCTGGTCTTAAGTCTTCACAGTCATTTCATCTGGTTCGGCAAGTTCTATTTTATTACATAAGATCTCATTTCTCTGTTTTATTGTGCTTTGTCTTCAAATGTTAGGACTGTACTTTAACTATTCTTTGAGATAAAGATATATGAGTATATGTGTTTCTACATATATATGTGTATACACACACAGACTCTTACCATTTGCTGTACTGGGGATTAAGAAGCAGTTAAAGATGACAGATTCTGAACAGGGAAAATATGTTTTAAAGAATTTTCCAAGTCTTGTTTTACTTTTTTTCCCACGTCTAGAGACATTTTTGATTGACATAATCTTTTCACTTAGTATAAGGCTGTTATTGCTAATTAAAACAAAAGACTAAGAAAATAGCAAATGAAGTATGTAATGACTGAATAACCACGCAAATTCCATGGACACAACAATATAAATAAGAAAGCAATTAAAATTTTTTTAAGTTTATTTATTATGTGTGTTTGTGTGTGATATGTGGAGATTGGAAGACAACTTGTGAGAGTTGTTTCTCTCCTAACCCCAGTGTGTGGGAAGCAGAGACAGGAGGTTTGCTGGAGCTCACTGGCTGCCGGTGAGCACTAGCTCCATTCAGTGAGAGACCCTGTCTCAGGGAAATAAGACAAAAGTCATAAAACAGACTACCTGATGTCTTCCAACGGCCTCTGCCCTGTACACTGGTATATACCTGTGCACACGTATACACACACACACACACACACACACACACACACAGAGAAATCTATTCTCTTAGCAATTTTCAAGGATACAGCATATTACTGCTATAGTCCACAAAGAATAGTGTTTAGGCTGGGGCCTCATACATGCTAGGCAAGTACTCTACCATTGAGCCCCTTCTTTAGCTCCAAGAGTAGATCTTAATGTTAGTTTTTAAAAATTTTATATATATAAATATATAGTATGTGTGTATGTGTATGTATGTATATAGTAGGCTGTCAGGCTTGGTGGCAAGTACCTTTACCTACTGAACCATCTCACTGGTCTAATTTTTTAAATTAATTTATATTTATTTATTTATTTATTTATTTATTTATTTATTTATTTATTTATTTATTTGTCTTTTGAGACAGGGCCCCTGTAACCTCAGCTGGCCTACTTTCTGTGTAGACCAGGCTGGTCTCGAACTCACAGAAATCCCCCTGCCCCTGCCTTCTGAGTGCTGGGATTAAAGGCATACGCCACTATACCCGGCTTTCATTTATCTTTTTAAGTTTCATGGTACGTGTGTGCACGTAGTCACTACTAGAGGCCAGAAGACGGCATCAGATCTCCTGGAGCTGGAGTTAGAAGTAGTTAATGAGCCACTAAATGTGGGTGCTGGGAATTGAACCCTGGTCCTGTGCAAGATCAAGTGCTCTAAGCTACTAAGCCATTGTTCTAGCCCCTATTTTTATTTATTTTTTAACATTATATCTAAGAAATTTGGAACAAATGTGATTCTCTATTGGTGAAAAGATAAATGTATACTAAGTGCAAATTCAACAGAGTACGATGCTCTGTGCTTAGATATGTTGAGGAATTAATTTCGACCACCTTAAAGAAATCTTTCCTATCTCCCGGTTGTTTTTAACGTTGGAGGGTGGGGTCAGGGTGACTGATCACCTATAAAGCTTGAGAGCTCAATGATAGTTTAACTGGTGGGAAGCTGTTGAGCACAGAGCTTTGCATAATGGGTATTTGGCTTTTTGGTTGTGTTTTAATTTTTTGAGACAGGGTCTCACTGTGTAGCCCAGGTTGGCCTGAAACTCACCATACTCCTGCTTCTGCCTTCCGAGTGCTGAGATTACAGATGCAAGCCACCAGGTCTGTCCTTGATGAGTATTTGAAATGTCACAGTCCCTAGCCCACGAAGAAACTGCATGTACTTACCTGAACACTCTTGTGTGCAGTACTTCCTTGTATTCAGTAGTGATGTGTGTATTGTTTCCACAGGTACTTCTTCCTGCTCTCTCGCCCACCATGACCATGGGTACAGTTCAGAGATGGGAAAAAAAAGTGGGTGAGAAGCTAAGTGAAGGAGACTTACTGGCAGAGATAGAGACCGACAAGGCCACGATAGGTGAGAATTCAAGTGTTGATAGTTGAGACACGTAGTTTTCCAGTGAGGAATAAGATTGTCATCCTTTCCAATACTGAGTGAGTGATAATAGAAATTTTACAATTCCTGGGACAAGATGTTATATACCAAATGTGTGTACACTCACATTCGTGGTTCTGTACTGCACTCATTGAGTTGAGGGTATGTCAGGAATTTTCTTAGGCCAGATTTGCCTCTTAGCCATATTTCTGTGTTACTCAGAAGCTTTCCCAGAGCTGGGATCGGACACTGGAAGGAGAGAACCAATGCCCTCAAGTTGCCCTCCACACGTGATCTGTGGCATGTGTGTGTATATACCACACACACACACACAAATAATTAAATACTATTTAATTATTAAACAGTAAATAATTAAATACTATTTAATTATTAAATAGTAAATAATTAAATACTGTTTAATTATTAAAAATACT